CGATTTATCGAAGCCTGTAGTAGGCGTGTTGACAAACGCATCTCATTTTTCTTTAATTATTGTTCGAATCGCATTCCCCTGATGATCGTTGAAAGTAGAAATACGAAATAATGGGCGACTTCATACAATGCTTGATCATACAACGCCATCTTTGTTTCGGAATATTAAATTTAAGCGCGAACGAGTTCCTGATTTTGGTACTCGGGCTCAGCGGCGGCGGAACAGATTTCGTTCTGGGGGGGCTAAATTTTTTCGGCGACCTCCCCCCCCCGTCGCCAAAAAAATTTCGGTCAGTGTACCACTTTAGGGGTATAATATACAAAAAAAGGGACGAAAAAAATTTTTCCGGACTTATATAAAAATTTTTTTCGGAAATACGCTTTTTTTAAACAAAATATTGCAAATTTGTCCCCTTATACCTAAATTTTCAAAAAATAACCTAAATTTTTCCCTAATTATCAATTTTTTTTCAAAAAATTCAAATTTTCTGGGGGGGCTAAGCCCCCCCACTTTTACTTCTGGGGGGGCTTTAGCCCCCCTAGCCCCCCCTGTTCCGCCGCCCCTGCTCGGGCTGTGGTTGGCTAAACAATCGGAATGGAATGTGTTGCTGCAGTAAGCAGCCTGTTAGTGGGGAGAAAACCTCGGACCCGCGAACAGGCTGCGTAGGAGACTAGCCAAGCAACGAAAGCGCCGAGTTATTTACACTGAATCAATTATTGAAACCGGATATTAAAAGAAACATTGAAATCGACAACACTTTTAATTACCACCGAAATATGCATATTATAAACAAAAGCCAAAACTACAAATATATTTCAGACATTTCAAATACAAACTACTTTCCAATAATGGTGACTGAATTGGTCTAAAATACATTTTATTTAATAAATAATAGATTAAGGAAAAGTTAAAAAACGCCTTCTTTAAACACAAACATTATTGATTTGTTGCAGAAGTTTTAATTGACAGGTGACCACCGCGCGGCCGAGCGGGGATGTATTGCCTCCTAATCGCGTTTGTATGGAAAAATATCCATCTCCAGTTTACAAAATTCTGTCATACAAAGTGTAATTTTAACTAAATGGACCAGCATTGTTCTCCAATAAACCTAAGACGAGAATTAACAAGAAATAGTGGCCAGAACACGATCTCATAAATGTTAGCCCGCCCATGCTGCATAAGGGACGATTTGCCTCATAAAGAACCCTTCCTTTTTCGCGGAAAATGAGTTTGACCAAAACTTTTCTCATTTGATATGAATAACTTAGTTATTCATCTACATATTTTAATAGGAATTAAATTTCAGAAGCAATCCACTTTTTTACTACGCCTTGTGGAACCATTAGGTTTTCGATCATGAATGACGGACTGCAATGGGGCAAATATTACTGCCACTAAAATCGCCGGTTCCAAATAGATATTTGGTTTATTATTACTTTTGTGAAAAGAACATAAATGGTTCAATAAAAAATACGGTTACGGGTTCTGTAGACCCTCGCACGACTTCGGTGCAAAGTTAGAAAATTGCAAATATCCGTCCTAATCATGAGCGCCATTTTGGATTCCTGAACATGTCAAACATATTTGAGGATAAACAAAAAAATGAGACAATTTTCAAGAAGTCACTGTTTGGACAAGAATCAGGATACATCAAGGAAGTTTTAGATATATTATGAAGCCAAACGAAAATTGAGTCAGAATTCGCTGGACCGTTCTTGCAGACAATGCCTCTTAATACATCAATATTTAAAACAAACCTACCTTCGTTAACTTCGGTGCCTTTACTCCCTTCTTTTAGTAATTCTTTCGCTTTTATTTTCTTACAAAGCTTTTGAAATTTACAAAATGTTGCAGAAATGAAATATATTTGCAAGAAATCATCAATCATCAAATCAAGAAATGTTTGCTATTTCGCTGTCGTCATGCATGCAGTCGTTATAATGCAAACTTTAAATTTGACCAATCAGTGTCCGCTATTGATGACAGTCCACCATATTTTTGAGATCAGTGAGGGTGACCACCCACCGAAACTTCGTTGGTGACCCACGCCCGCGATCATTGATGAACTTTAGACTTCGCTAATGCGTTCTTTTCCCCGGGTGTAAATAGCCGGGGGAATTAGTACCCTCGCCCCGGGCTTACGCCCGGAACGGCGCTCCGCTTCGTTAGCTCGGGGACAAGTTTATGTTACTAAACCCGTTCAAAATTTGTAAACAATATACATGGGAAGTTCCCATGTATATTGTTTTCAAATTTTTCACGGGTTTAGTAACATCAATTTGTCACATGATCTAATTGCTTGTTACAGCAGAGCCAAGAAAATGTTTTGTGCTTTTTTAATATAGGCCTACTAAATAAATCAAATAATAAATGTACCTTTACAGTGTAATTTAAATGAAAATTGTGTACTATTTTATAAATAACAATGAGTGTTATGTACAGTATGAAATCAATGTGTATAATTATAATATATTGTAGGTAGTTGTGAACAACTTGGGAATAACAAATGTTCATCATGCTTGCAACTAGCAGGATGTGCTTGGTGTTCAGATGTGGTATGTATTACCAATTATAATAACATGAAGTTTGCAACAAGTTATAAGGTCTGATTATTATTGAACTGCCGTATATATCATGTAACCATGATGAACATGTGAGATAGTGTGTGCTTGGAGAGCTGATATTTAAAATAAAATTTTTATATAAACAACATTTTAATAAATATAATTTGCGTTTGTTCTAAGAGCATAATTACTTATCTAGAGAGCTCACACACATTACATATTTACATATTTGCACTAATTTAAACCTTCTCAGTTTATACTAAATCTTCTTCAGTTATCTATATTACCCTTCGTTTAATGTATTTCAACTGAAAAGAAACAAGTCAACTCTTTGGTTAACAAAGAGAAGGCACCATTGGTCAGGAATGATTTGAGCAATAGAGGCTAGGAAATCAGTTCTAATAGAAACATACTTTGTACAATAATGAAAAAAATGCATTTACTTAAGCTGCTATTACTGTCGTTCCAATTGAAGTGTTGCTCAAATATTGATTCAATACATTACCTCGGGCTGACCAATTCATTTCATCAAGTTCCTCGAAATATTCATACACTTCCTAGTATAATTGTAAACTTCCTGTTGAATAGTTTGAATGCACCAATCACCTTTGTTGTTTGTGCAACTAACCAATCATAAATAGAAAGGAAGTGACCAGAAATGATCAAATACTTGGAATTGGCTCTTTCACAGGAAGTGTATGAATATCTCGAGGAACTTGATCAAATGAATTGGTCAGCCCGAGGTAATGTATTGAATCAATATTTGAGCAACACTTCAATTGGAACGACAGTAATAGTAGTTATAAAAAATGTGTGAGTTTGAAACACAGTTTATATGTTTAGACATGGTTACCAAGCATACTTTGTACCAAGTTTCTAGAGGATAAAAAACAAAGCAAACGTCGGAGTTCAACCCAATATCCACAAAAACAATAGTGCATGCGGCTTAAAAAGGGTAACAGTACAGTGCTCGATGCATCTACGCGGCATTTTGTTCTGTCAGATAAAAGATTATACTGACCTAGATTATGAGACTTCTCTTATCAAATGGATTAAAGTGGTCATCAAGTCTGTCTTGCTCAACATGTGCATGATTTATTTCCAAATAGTTTTGAATATTCAGTGGATTCCAAAATGCACTTTTAATTGAATTAGTACCATAGTCTGACAACATAATGGAAGATATTTGCCTCGCAAACAACAAAGATGTAAATACAGTACAAAAGGAAAACAAAGCTTTCCAAATAGAGGTGAAACAGAATTTTGCCAGTTGAACAAAGTAAATAATTATTAGAATATAAGTGGCGCCACTAAATAAGAGAAAACTGAAGACGAACAACACAATATAAAGGATATATTATACAACACGAAATCACAGATTATACTGAGGCGAGCGCTGCTATTGGCGCTATGAAACGTATAAAGCCCTTTGTTCCAATGCATACCTTAGCATCGATTTATAAAAATCTTGTGCAGCCCTACTTTGATTATTGTTCCCCCCTTTGGGACACTTGTGGTAAGTTGCTAAGAGACAAGTTGCAAAGATTTCAGTCTCGTGCAGCAAGAGTCCTAACGGGTGCTAATTATGATACTCGCTCAGCTGATCTTCTCAACATGCTTTTTTGGGATACACTTGAAAATAGGTGGTCTGGTGCCAAAGTCAGTATTAATGTATAAAATACTTAACGACCACACTGCACCAGGTCTCCGGGGGTCATTCGTGAGAAGAGAAATAGATCAAACTAATTATCATCTTCGAAACACAGCAACTGATCTAACAATTCCTAAACCGAAACGAGAATTTCTTAAAAAAAGTTTTAAATATAGCGGCGTTATGCTCTGGAATCAACTCCCAAACGAAGCAAAATTGGCCGAGTCGCCTCATTCGTTTAAATCAATTGTTGGACAGCGACATGCTTCCTAATTATTTGTATATAGTAACGTGTACAGTATGTGTGTACTAATATTTAGTTTAAATTTTCCTTTTAATGATTTTTAATATCTAAACACGCCCCCCATGGAAACCAGCCTAGAGTTGATGGGGCTAGCGTGTTCTTCTTTCTGTTAATTTTAAATAAAGTATTACCTACCTACCTACCTACAGATGTTCGCAAGCGCCGAGCGGGGCTTAATATATTTATATTGTCAACACTGTAATAAACAGTGTTACGCCATTAACGTTGAACTTACAATGAATATATTTATCGAATATAAAACGTGATGACATGTTATGTCTAGACAATTGGGGGTGTGTCCAACCTGTCAATGTCAATGTCAATGTATTACATCCCCCTTCTTAAACTAACAAAATATTAATATAACTTTAATATGAACTGTTCGAATAATCGTGTCCGTGTTTATCTATAGGTAATAATAGTCCAGTTACTATTGGCAGGATAAGTTGAAAGTAACTCAGAAAGTTTGATTAAATCTATTTCATTTCATGACATAGTCTCTGTATTTTATTGGTAGCGCTGTGGTTCTCATTGGTCGTCCCTGATTAGGTGGATTCTGGAGGTCTAAATCTGGTGGTTGTGGAATAATGGTCGGTTGTTCTTCACCAACATCCTCAGTTTGCTCTATTATGGTTGAAGGCGGAATGTTGGTCTTTAAAAGGTCACGACGGTTCCGTCTGTATTGTTGTCCATCTGATGTTGTGACGATATACGATCTTGGGGCAGGGGCCAGTCCAGATACGGTGGCTGGTACCCAGATACTGTCCTGGCGTAGGTGGATGTTTTCTCCAATTTCAAGTGGTGGTAATGGTTTGGTTGATTTGTCGTAGTTCTGCTTCTGCTGATTCTGTCGTTGTTCAAGCTGCTGCTGTGCATTGATTGGCACGGCTGGTAGTAGTAACTCTTTGGATATTGGAATCTTCGTTCTTGTGGTGCGGCTCATCAGCAGTTGTGATGGGGAGTATGTCATTCCAGTAACAGGCGTGTTACGGTACTCCATCAGACCAAAGTATGGATCGTCAGCCTTCTTCAGGATCCGTTTTACGGTTTGTACAGCTTTTTCACTCATGCCATTTGATTGAGCATAGGTTGGGCTTGATGTTGTTTGTTTGAATCTCCATTCTTTGGCGAATTCGTCAAACTCTTTGCTATTGAAGGGCATGTTGTCGGATACCAACTCTTCTGGGATTCCGTGTCTGGCAAAAATTGATTTGAAATGTCTAATTACTGTTCCTGCTGTCTTGTTTGGAAGAAGGGCTGCTTCGATGAACTTCGAATAGTAATCTACTACAACGAGGTAATTCTTGCCCTTATATTCACACAGATCAGTTCCTAGCTTTTGCCATGGTCGTTCAGGTATTGGATGTGCTATCATCGGTTCCTTCTGGTTTCTTCTTCTATATGTGGCGCAAGTAGCACATTTTGATACTTTCTCGTAGATATCCTTTGACATTCCAGGCCAAAAAAGGATTGCTCTTGCGCGTGCTTTGCATTTCTCTATCCCGAGATGACTTTCATGTATCAGGTTGAGCATATTGTTCCTCATTGCTGTAGGTATGACTAACTGGTGGTCTTTGAAGATCAGACCTTCTGCTTCACTCAGCTCATGGCGAATGTTCCAGTAGGTAGCTAAGTTTTGCGGGATTTCATGCTTACGATCAGGCCAACCTTGAACCATCTGCTGTTTAAGTTGTTGTAGCGTTTCATCATTCGCTGTTTCTTCCTTAAGCTCTGCCATTTTCTCAGGAGATGCTGGTATTGCTGTAACCATGCTGTGCACCATTACTTCAATGTCCTCATTAAGTTCCTGTTGTTCTCCTTCTTCTGGTAAGTACGCTCTTGACAAAGTGTCGGCGATAAACAGGAAT